AAGAATTTATTAATAAATAAAATAAAAATAAAATCAAAAAATAGAATTAAAGGAAATTTACCAGGAAATAAAATGGAAAGAAGATTAAAAAAAAAATTTTAATTTAAATTTATTTTTCAAAATTAAAATAAATTTGTCAAAAAAGGAAAAAAAGGAATTTATCAATAAATAAAATAAAAAGAAAATCGAACAATAAAATAAACAGAAAATCAAAGAATAGAATAAAAGGGAATTTATCATCAACAAAAAATAAATAAAAAGAAGTTTAAAAAAAAGGAAAATCGGAAAACAGAATAAAAAGAAAATAAAAGAAAATCGAAAAACAAAATAAAAAGAAATTTGTCAAAAAGAAAAATAAAAATAAAATTAAAAAAGAAAATTTTTCCCAAAAAGGAAATTAGAAGAAATTTCTTAACGAATAAAATAAAAAGAAAATCGAAAAATAAAATAATAGGAAAACCAAAAAGAAAATAAAAAGAAATTTATCAAAGAGGACAAAAAAATAAAGAAATTAAGAAGAATAACAAATTTAAAAAAAAAATAGAAAATGCAAAAAAAAGGGAAAAAAAACAAAAAAAAAACACGAAATTTAAAACTGCACGTGACGCCACGGAAATGCGGGTAGATGATTCTGCGAGATTACCTGTTCAGCTTTAATGGTTTCCAAGCGGAAATTTGACGAAATATGGACTGTCGTGAATAAAAGTAATCTACCACCCTAATGAATCTCTCTTCATTCAGGCAACAAATGATTTTTCTGACAGAAGACTATTAATTTTTTTTTTTTTTCCTAACAAAATTGTTTCCGCTATTATAATAAACAATCGATTTGACGCCATTATTTCTATATTAACCAAAAGTGACAGTAATCAATTTTTTTTTTTTTTGCAATTTTTTAATCTTGATTAAACTTTTCACGTAGAAAGAATCATCTATCGAGAAAAAAATTGCCTTTTAAATTTGAATTATCTCAAAAAAAATATTTTAACATCTTTTTCGTTTCTAATTAAATTACCTTATCTCTAAATCTGAATCGCAGTTAAAATCGGTTAAAATTTTTATTATTATTTTTATTTTTGTTGTTATTATTATTATTATTAGAATTATTATTATTTATTTATTTAAGTAGTAAATGGAAGAATAATTATTAGTATTATTATTATTATATTATATATATTTTTTATTTTTATTATCATTACCATTATTATTAAAATTAATATGATTAATATTTTTAATATTACTATTATTCATTTTTTAGAAAAATGAAACAATGAATTTCACGAAATTATTATTAAGGAAAAATACACTCGCAATTTTCCTGAGAAAAAGACAATTGTATTGTTTAACTGTTAATTGGAAATGTAACGAATTAAATACTAGAGCAAACATAGTGATGTCATTTAAATTAGCAAAGTCTCCTAATTTATTTTTTAACCTTTAGACAAATTTGACATTTTTTCATTTTGCTGTTTGCACTTATAATCCTAAGTTATTTTCAACTATGTGTAATTATTCGCAATATTTCTGTCACAATTTGCGCACAATTTTCTGAAAATATTTCTATACGGAAAATATTAATGTACAAAAAGAAAGGGATAAATAAGTATCAGGTATAAAAGTTTAGCAATTTTTTCTAAATAATTAAAAAATTTTCCTTTTTATTTCTAATTAAAAAAATTCAAAGGATTTTTGAGTATAAGAAATTTCAATTTTCTATAACCACAAAGTTGAAAACTTTCCTTATTAAAAATTTTTTAAAGTAATAAAGTTCCCAACATTCTTCCCTTTAGCAATAAATTATGTTAATTTTTTTAAGAGCTGATCTTGCGAAATAAGAGTCGCTATAAATCAATATTTCTAGACCCAAATAATTCGAGATTTTAGCTCAAAAATTTTGTCGATATTGTCAGGCAACGTTGCCTCGTAATATTAAAAATATTATATTATTTATTTATAGAAGTAAACGGCATTAATTTGTTTACTATTTACTATACTAAAAATTTACTAATTATAATAAACTAATTAAAATTATAATAAAGTACATCTGCAGTTAATTATAAAAAAAACTTATAATTCATATAATTAACTGAAATATTTTCTCATAACAGTAATTAAAAAAAAAGTTAAACTAAATAAAAGTTAAACTTTAATTTTGAGAATGAAACGTTAGTTTAAATATTCAAATAATTTAATACATTTTACATTCCATTCAAATAAATATTCATGGAAATTTGACCTTATTTTCTCTTATGTAACATCGTGTTTTGTATGTTTATATCCAAGGTGGAAGAGAAATATGTTTCAATATAGAGAGCCGAGAAGTATATACATATATGTTTGTTTCATTCAATTTTAAAAATGTTTACCAAAATAACTGTATAATAAAGTTATATTTGTCTATTTAAACAAATATTTTCCATACTGTAGGGCTTACTTTGTAAAAAAAAAATGTTTCATGAGATAAATTTACATCAATTTAGAACTGAATAATTTTAAAGTAAACATTTCGTTACGTATTTAAAAAAAAATTATTTTTCTTTTTTGAAACATTTCTTTTTCTCTTATGAAACATCTATTTAATATTTTTTTCTTATTATTTATTATTATTTATAATTATTTATTATTTTAATTTTCTAAAAATATTTTTTCTCCTATTTTCCTATTTATTTATAAAAGCTTTTAGTTATAATGAAAGAGTTGAAATTCACAATAATAAATTAAAAAACATTTTACACGATTTTTTTCCTCTACGAGATTTAAATCGTAATTTAAATACAAAAATAAATAATTTATTGAACAATTGAATGTTTCTTAAAATTCAATTTCCATAAAAAATTTTATTCAATTATAATCTGAAATTTTAACTGAAATACATTTTTAAATCAATTTTTATTAGAAAATTCTACAAGAATTCAATTATTTAAATACAAAAATAAATAATTTATTGAATAATTGAATGTTTCTTAAAATTCAATTCCCATAAATAATTTTATCAACAAATTTTAATGTAATTGCATTCTTTGGACGAATTTTAATAAAATTTTTAAGAATAATTACATTTTTCGAGGCATTCGATTAAAATTGTATTAAAAATAATAATAAAATAATAATAATAATAAAATAATAAAAAAATAATAATAATAAAATAATAACTAATAATAAAATTGAAATTCATTTTTAATACAATTTTTATTAGGAAATTCTACAAGAATTCAATTATTTAAATACAAAAAAAATTTTTATTGTATAATTACATGTTTCTTCAAATTGAACAATTATTTCTTATAAAGAATTTTGTCAATAACTTTTACAATAATTGGATTTTTTTAACGAATTTTAATAAAATTTTTAAGAATAATAATTATACATTTTTCGAAGAATTCGATAATAATTGAATTCCTAAAAAGAATTTTATTATTTACGAAAATAATAATTGAATCCCTGTAAAAATTTTATTATTAATGAAAATAATTGAATAATAGCGAAGAAATTAAAAAAAAAAATTTGTAAATAAATGAATTTCTATGAAATTTTTATTATTTTATGAAAATAATTAAAGGTTTGCGTAGAATTTTATTAAATTTTTTTTAAATACTTGAATTCTTTTGGAAAATTTTATAAAAAAATAGTAGATATTTAAAATCATTGAATTGAGGAAAATTTTTAAAAATAATTGAAATTTTGCCAAGAATTTTATTAAAATTTTTGAAAATAATTGAATTTTGGAGAAGAATTTAATTATTTTTAAAGATAATTGAAATTTTGCCAAGAATTTTATTAAAATTTTTGAACATAATTGAATTTTGGAGAAGAATTTAATTATTTTTAAAGATAATTGAATTTTTGAGAATTTTTAAACATTTTTTAACATAATTGAATTTTTGTGATGAATTTTGTTACTTTAGAAAATAATTGAATTTCTGTAATAATTTGTAATTTTTACAAAATTAAATTTTTTCGGTGTTTTTTTAACTAAATTCAATTATTTCTAAAAAATTCACGCTCTAATGCTTTTAAAATTAAACTATAATCTAAAATTTTTAACTGAAATCCATTTTTAAATCAATTTTTATTAAGAAATTCTAAAAAAATTCAATTATTAAAATACAAAAAAAGCAATTTATTGAATAATTGCATGTTTCTTATAATTCAATTCCAATAAAAAATGTTATTAACAAATTTTTAAATAATTGAATTCTTTCGACAAATTTTAATAAAACTTTTATAAGAATAATTACATTTTTCGAGAAATTCGATTAAAATTATATTAAAAATAATTGAAATTCTGCAATGCGTTTTATTATTTATGAAAATAATTGAAAAAAAGAATTTTATTATTTACGAAAATAATTGAATCCCTGTAAAAATTTTATTATTTTATGAAAATAATTAAAGGTTTGCGTAGAATTTTATTAATTTTTTTTTTAAATAATTGAATTCTTTTGGAAAATTTTATTAAAATAGTAGATATTAAAAATCATTGAATTGAGGAAATTTTTTGAAAATAATTGAAATTCTGACAATAATTTACGAATTTTTTTGTCTTTTCTCAATAGAAAATAGTATCAAAAGTCTCATAAAATGTTTAATTTCTCCACCTGAGAACGCCAAGGTCGCCACTAGGTGGCGAGGAATCTAGCCATCTAGCGGTGACCTTGGCGTTCTCAAGTGGAGAAATTAAACCACCATTTTATCTCTTCGAACCTTTTTTATAAATAAGTTAGTTTTTAAAAATTTTAACATAACGTTTTTACGTCTTTCCTTTTTTTTACGTTTTTGCGTTTTTACGCAAATTTACTAATTTAATAATTAGTTATTAGGAATGTTATTACTAAAAAAAGTTACTAATAAAATCAGTGACTGAATTTCCACCATAAAATTAGTTATTTTCGATTGATTTTAATTTAGAGAGTACGGGTGCGGTTTCACTAACGTTCGTAAATCGTAAGTAATGGTTTTTGCGAAAAAGAGTAAAAAAAAAAAAATTGTCAAAAACTTACATTTACATCGAATCTGCCCTCGGCCATTATGGCTGATGTCCTCTAGGAGCCAAGAAGTCACCGATTCCCGTCTCTTGCCACCGGTAATTTTGCCTCTCTCTTTCTCTCTCTCGTCCGTGGTATTCCTTTTCGATTCAAATCCATTAATCACTAGCAGCACACGGCCAACACGACCAGAGCTCGATAAAAGCTGTATTTAATTTTTCAGCCGAGCAGCGTTTTATATTTAAATGGAAATCGGAAAGGACTTGCAACCATTTTGCTCTATATACATATATATATATATATATATAAATATAAATAAACGAGTGCAAAGCATAGGTAGCGTCGCTCTTTCAACTGTTGACTTTGACGAAGATGTATTTCAAGCATGAATAATTGAATATATGCATACAAAATCTAACAGTATCTTTTTGATATTGGAACAGATCTGCGGTACTGAGTTTATATGTATATATATATATAAAATTCAGTTTTCTCGTTTCGCATGGGGAAAAATCGCAAAGATTCGCGCGCGGAGAGTTTGAGATTTACAAGTACGACAGAATTTATTTCAAAAAGGTCACCCACACCAATTCCAAATTCAACTTCATTTGGTAACATTTCATTTAGGCGAATAAATTTCCCGACGGGAAAGTTTTCTCATTTTAGCAAATTCAAGAGCATTTCGTTTCATATAATTTATATTACTTTGAAACGTATATCATTAATTGTAACCACCCTGCTTCTTCTTTTTTTTATTAGTAACCAATTATCATTTTTCTTTGTCAACTATATATATTTTTTTCTTATCTTCTTTTTTGTTAATATAACAGTCAATCTCTCTGTCTCTCTCTCTCTCTCTCTCTCTAAAGAATTAGTAAAAATGTTTTTTAACTTTAATAAATTAGAGACACTCACTTTTTATTATTAAAAATATTTTAACAATAAATTTTTTATTTTTATTAATAAAAAATTATTTAGATTAGTTCTAGATCTTTCAAATTTGTTTAACAAAAAATTTACTAATAGTTTAGTAGAAATTAATATTTATTAGAAAAATTATTAGTATTAGTATTAGTAATTATAATTAGTATTAGTAATAATTTATTAGTAAAACATTTACTAAATTTAAAAAAAGGTTTGCATTAGTGAAAATTAAAAATTCAAAGACAAAATGTTCAGTAGAAAATTGTATCAATAAATAGTAAATTCTACTAATTTATTACGAAAATTCACTAATTCAAAAGCAAAAAGTTTATTAGTAAATTTTACTAATAAATATTTTCTACTAATTTGTTAGTAAATTTTATTAATAAATATTTTCTACTAATTTGTTAGTAAATTTTACTAATAAATAGTATTTTCTATTAATTTATTAGTAAAAATTCAAAAGCAAAAAGTTTAGTAGCATATTATACCAATAAATAGTAAATTCTACTAATTTATTGCTAAAATTCATTAATTCAAAAGCAAAAAGTTTAGTACTACATTTTAATAATAAATATTTTCTACTAATTTATTAGTAAAATTCACTAATGTAAAACCAAAAAGTTAGAGGTAAATTTTACTAAACAAATAGTCATTTCTACTAAATTATTAGTAAATTTCTCTATTAAATAGTAATTTCTACAAAAGTATTAGTAAATTTAACTAAAAAATAGTCATTTCTACTAAATTCTTAGTAAATTTCAATGATAAATAGTATTTTCTATTAATTTATTAGTAAAAATTACAAATTCAAAAGCAAAAAGTTTAGTAGTAAATTTTACCAATAAATAGTCAATTCTACTAATTTATTCCTAAAATTTACTAATTCAAAAGCAAAAAGATTAGTAGTAAATTTTACTAATACATAGTAATTTTTACTAATTTCTTACTAAAATTCACTGATTTAAAATCAAAAAGTTTAAAGGTATATTTTACTAAAAAATAGTCATATCTACTAATTTAAATCAAATCAAAAAGTTTAAAAGTAAATTTTACTAAAAAATAGTCATATCTACTAATTTATTAGTAAATTTGACTAATAAATAGTATTTTCTATTAATTTATTAGTAAATTTTAATAATAAATAGTATTTTCTATTAATTTATTAGTAAAAATCACAAATTCAAAAGCATAAAGTTTAGTAGTAAATTTTGCCAATAAATAGTAAATTATCTACTAATTTATTACTAAAATTCACTAATTTAAAAGCAAAAAGTTTAGTAGTAAATTTTACTAATAAACAGTACCTATTTTCAACTAATATATTAATAAAGTTCACTAATTTAAAATCAAAAAGTTTATAAGTAAATTTTACTAATAAATAGTAATTTCTATTAATTTGTTAGTAAATTTAACTAAAAAATTGTATTTTCTATTAATTTATTAGTAAAAATCACACATTTAAAAGCAAAGAGTTTAGTAGTAAATTTTACCAATAAATAGTAAACTCTACTAATTTATTAGTAAATTTTACCAATAAATAATAATTATTACTAATATATTACTAAAATTCACTAATTAAAAGAAAAAAGTCAGCAACTAATTTAAAATTAGTAAATATTTTTACAAATTCAAATTTAGAGAGATTTTAATTAATTATTAGTCAAATATTTACCAAACAACAGTTTTCCTAATTACTACCCCCCCATTTATTTTCATAAATAATTAATAAAGTGAAATAATTTTGCTACTTAATTAATTTTATGAAATTTATACATTAAAATTAACTTTTGAAATTTGAAATAGTAAAAAAGTTTATTAACTTGAATTACAGACACTGACTTTTTATTAGTAATAATATTTTGACAATAACTTTTATATTTTTATTAATATAAAATTATTCAGATTAGTTACGGATCTTTCAAATTTGTTCAACAAAAATTTACTAAGAATTTAGTAGAAATTACTATTTATTAGTCAAATTTTACTAATAATTTAGTAGAAATTACTATTTATTAGTAAAACTTTCTAATTCAGAAACAAAAAATCAGTCACCAATTAAAATTTTTAAACATTTTTACTAATTCAAACTTAGGAAGATTTTAATTAATTATTTAATTGATTATTGGTAAAAAGTTTTAAAAAGTCTTTTTATAATTATCTCTCTTTATTTTCTTAAATAATTAATTAATAATGCAAAATAATTTTGCTGCTTAGTTGGACTAAATTTAAACATTAAATTCAAGGTTTAAAAATTATTTTCAATTTAATTTCCGTCGTACGATATAAAAATTGCATTTTTATATTATTTTATATTTATATTTTATATTTATGGTATTTATTAATTAAAATAATATTTATAGGTACATTATTTATTATTATAATTAAAATACATTTGAAAATATCAAAATTAAATATTAAATAAAATTGGTAAAATTCTTATTTTCTGTTCCATAAATTTTGAATTTTAATTAAATTTATTAAATTCCTTTTTTGCAATTAAATTTTTTTAACTAAATTCATTTAATTTCCTTCTTTTAATGAAATATTTTTAACAAAATTCTTTTAATTACAGTTTTTAAATTAAATTTACATAATTAAATTTATTGAATTTTATAAATACTGAATATTTAAATATTTCAAAAATGGAATATTTATTTTATATTTTAATTACGCAAAAATAAATTATCACCATTTTTCAATATTACTCAATTAAAAAAAGCACAATTAAATTAAAACTCACTTCATTAATAAATTATTTACAGTCATTGACGATATTAACGATAATTGTCTGATCATCTTTATATTATTCTCATAAAATGACGCACTTTTATGAATTTATTTACAATCCATCAAAAAATCGACAATTAAATGGTCGAGGGAGAGAAAATTTGCAAAATAGTACAGTAAATAATATTTAATTACGCTTTTTTTCATTTAACAATTAAAATGAAAATTCCAATTCAATTTATACCTAAAATATAATGAAAATTGATGTACGAAAAATTATTAAAAAGAAATAATTAAATTAAAAATTAAATTTTCGCAAATTTCTATCACATAAATTATAATTAAAATCTGTTAAAATGAATTTTCATCTAAAAATAAATAATAATTCAAATAATTTGAAATGATTGATTCTTGAAAGCAGACAAAGTGGATTTTCAATTTATTTTTAAAATGAAATTTATATTCAAACATCAATTTAATAAAATTGGACTCTCTCAATTTGAATTCGTAAAAATGTTTGCTAATTTAGGTTATTGACTGACTTTTTGCTTTTGAATTAGTAAATTTTACTAATTTAATTTTTACTTTACTTTTTTATTCTTTATTTTACTTTACTTTTAATTAGTAATTTTTACTGATTTATTACTTAAATTCACTAATTTAAAAGCAAAAAGTTTAGTAGTAAATTTTACTGCTAAATAGTAATTTCTACTAATTTATTAGTGAATTTTATTAATAAATATTATTTTCTACTAATTTAATAGTAAAATTCACTAATTCAAAAGCAAAACGTTTAGTAGTAAATTTTGCCAATAAATAGTAAATTATCTACTAATTTATTACTAAAATTCACTAATAATAGTATTTTCTACTAATTTATTAGTGAATTTTACTAATAAATAGTAATTCCTACTAATTTATTAGTAAAATTCACTAATTCAAAAGCATAAAGTTTAGTAGTAATTTTTACTGTTAAATAGTGATTTGTACTAATTTATTAGTAAATTTTACTAATAAATAGTATTTTCTACTAATGTATTAGTAAAATTCACTAATTCAAAATCAAAAACTTTAGAAGTAATTTTTATTGATTAATAGTAATATCTACTAATTAATTAGTATAGATATAACTATTAATCAATGAATGAAATAAATAAATTTCAAATTTTTCTAGAAAAAAAATTTATCTGCTAAAAAATATTTTAAATTTTCGATAGTTTACTTTTCACTATTTAAATTTTAACTGTAGTTTTTCTGGAATTTTTTTAGTTTATTTTTTAGTTTTTATTATTTAATTTTATTTATTTTTTACTTTTTTCGAATTGACTGACTTTTTGCTTTTGAATTAGTAAATTTTAGTAATTTTCACTAATTTTAGTATTAAATTAGTTTAAATTTAATTAAATTTAATTAAATTAACTGAAAAATTTCCAGAAAAACTGCAATTGAAATTTATATAGTAAAAAATAAAATTTCGAAAAATCCA